TCGATACTGAGCGTGAATTCTATAGTGAGGCAAATCTAGTGGGAACTACAGTCATGTCAAATAAGATGCAAATACCTGGATTAAGGAAATAATTTGCTTCTATAGTGGAAACTACGCATCAACTTGAATCGATTCAACGACCCAGTGTCAATGCGACTCACAAACCAGTTTAAATGCAAGTGGGAATGAGTAGTGATGGAAACTCAGAAGTTTCATGAAATATATCCAGACAAGCTGGGGGGAGGGACTTAAATGAATGTGCAATGATTATTCCAGGGGTGGCAGAGCGCAAGCGGTGGATGAAACTAGGACTTTGCCTGGCATGCAGACAGAAGAGGCATCGGATTGCCAAGTGTCCTGACAGAGAAGACCACCAGCAGGGAGCTATGTTGAAGAGAGGGCCTTCTTCAGCCTTGTTGGGGGACCCGCACTGCCCAAGCAAGGGACCGGGAAGCAATCAGGTCCTCAAGGTGGCTAATTCAGATGCAGTAGAATTGGAGACCACGCCAGACACTACAGAGAAACTTCCCTGGCCTGCCTCAGACAGTGGCAGAAGGCAGGCCCCAGGCCCAAGGCACTGCACCCCAATGGTGAGTGGAAGAATTCCCCTATACACCTTAACAGTTAAAGCGGAGGATCCAAAAGGGGGGGGGGGGAGTATGGGAATAGATTGGCTGCATTTCCACAAGCCCAGGATCCCGTGGAGACAGGGACAACTGATTTTTGGGACCTGGTATGCAGGGAACACAGCTGGGGACCCATCTTGAACTCGGAGGGGAAGGCAATGGCAGTGCTGATCCGATCATACTTCCCTCAAGAGTGGGTGGGGAAAGCCATTCAGGAGGACCAAATTGGACCTAAGAAATGCTTACTTCCGAGTCCAGATTTGGGAAGGAGATGAACACAAAACTGCATTTAATTGCTCCCTGGGGGCATTTGAGTACTTGGTGATGCCTTTTGGGTTATCAGTCAGTCCAGGCGTTTTTATGAGGCTAGTAAATGAAATTATGCATAATCTACTGTTTGTTTGGATCCTAGTCTACCTACATTATGTATTGATCTATTCACAAGACCTGGATTCTCATGTGAAGCTGGTAAGGGAGGTGCTGAAGTGCCTCTTGGACATTAAACTGTATGTCAAGCTGTCCAAATGCAATTTCCATACTGATAAATTGGATTTTTGGGGATATTGGGTGTCTATCCAAGGAATAGAAATGGACCCAGCTAAGGTGCTAGAGTGGGGCCTCCCAAGAACCAAAAAACAGGTGCTTACTGCCCCATGCTGAAGTTGCTTTCAGTAGGGCCATGAACCAGAGTACAGGTCATTTATTGTTTATGGCTATGAACCAAAGACATTGCCTTCATTGAACATGAACCCACAGACCCTGTCCGACTTTCTCAATGGATTACAAAAATCAAAGATGCTTGGCCCCAGATTGTGATAGCCTTGGAGGAAGCAAAAAAGGATTATAAAAGATTTGAAGATCATAAGAGGAGCAAGGAATGGGATTTGGTACCAGGAAGCAAAGTCTATTTGTCAACTAAGCATCTGAAGACCCAACAACCATCAAAAAGCTAGGGCCAAAATATGTGGGACCATTTGTTGTGAAAAGACTGGTCAATGAAGTAACTGTGGAGTTGGACTTGCCTAAGTCCTATAGACATCTACATCCTGTATTCCATTCTAGCCTGCTGAAGGCAGCTTTGGACTTGGACCCATAGTGGGTGGATTCAGGACTGCCCCCACCGCTGGTGGAGGAGGAGGAACAATACTTTGAGGTGGCTAGGATTTTGGACTCAAGATTGCAAAGGGGCAAGTTACAGTATTTGGTCTGTTGGAAACACTTCCCTGAATCCAAAAATGAGTGGGTGTATGTTCACCATGTGAATGCCCCAGAATTGACTCAGAGGTTTCATGAAATGTATCCGGACAAGCCAGGGGGAGAGACTTGAATGAATGTGCTATGATTATTGCGGGGTAGCAGGATGTCAGAATCCATATGCATAGTTCTGTCATGTTGGCATGATGATATGATGGCATTAGGGGATGAAAATATGAGGGCATGGTGATATGGTGATTTAACACTGTATAGTATGTTGGCTATTGAGAAGGGGATATCAGTTATGTTAAATCGAAGCCTTGGAAATAAACGGGAGGGGCAGATAGCCAGCAGCAGAAAGGTTGTAGTTTTATGACCCCATTCTTGCTGCCATGGATCTGAGCTGTGAAACAGGGATGATGATCTTCCTGAAGGGAGATGAAATGATAACACAGGAGGGGAAGGAGGGAGCGATCAGGCTTGGAAGGGGAGGATGGAGGATGGGAATGTATTTGTGATGGTCCAAGGCGGGACCTTTTCAGTTCTGACACGGAACCTGGGACAGGGAACTTTCTGCCTTGATATCCAGAATAAATCTCTAGTTTCTATTACACTACGATGCTGTCTTTGTTATTGGGAACTGGGTCCTCTGATCCTGACAAATAGGACCTGGAGCAATGTATACAAAGTACAGGAAAAGAGATTCCACCTCAACAAGAGGAAGAACTTCCTGGCAGTAAGAGCTGTTTGACAGTGGAACACACTCCCTCAGAGTGTGGTGAAGTCTCTTTCTCTGGAGGTTTTTCAACAGAGCTTGGATGGCCATCTGTCGGGAATGCTTTGATTGTGTCTTCCTCCATGACAGGGAGTTGGACTGGATGGCCCTTGTGCTCTCATCCAACTCTATGATTCTACTGCCTGGTTTTGTGTTGCAGTCATCAGACATTACTCCAGGAATCTTGTGGCCTCCATGCCAAGCTGATGCTTCTGCTTGCAGGAGAGCAGGAAAAAAGAAACAATATTTTACTTCCCAGAACCACCTCTAGACAACTCCATGGAGTAGCTTGGGGAAAATAAATAAACGCCATTCAAAATTGTGGAAAGAAAGGAACAAAGATTAAGCTGTCCTCAAATTTCTCCCAATGGTGACAACAATCCATATCTCTGCCTTCTCATCTGTCAGTCTAGAGGAACAATGGCTTTGAACTCTTGCTCCGTGGTGGTAGCATGAAGAGGATTAACTTCGGAGCCTCTCGCTGCTCAAAATTCATGAGGCACTTAATTGACAATAATTAGCATTAGTCTTTTGAAAGCAAAGTGCTTCTGCTCAAAGCTGAGACATCCAGTAACAATTGGCAGATGGAGAAATAGGAAGCTAAAGATGGTGGAAATTGTAGAAACAAGGAGAGAAAGTTTTGAGTTTTTTAAAGGTATGGATTCCTTCAGCGTCATTTTTATGCCCATCCAAGCATAAGAGAAAGGGAGAAAAACATGTTTCTTCCCTCATCCTTTAAAATCCCTTATTTCCAGCATGTATTTTCCAAAATTGTTGGAAAGTTGTGACCGCTGGAAGTCCTTGCTCCCAGATGTGTGGGCTGGTGGAGTTTACACACACAAACCAGCATGGTATGAACAGGCACCTATTGAAGCTTAGTCCAGCCAGTGCCTAGATGAGAGGCTGCCAGTGTTGTTGTTCTGTCCCTTGGAACAGTTTCTCCCCATAGAGATGTCCAATGTGAAGTCGAAGGCTTTCACGGCCGGCATCCACGTTTTTTGTGGGTTTTTCAAGCTTAACAGTTTAACATGTATTATTATTATTATTATTATTATTATTATTATTATTATTATGTATTTATACCCCACTCTTCAGCCAAAAGGCTATCTGAAAATGCCAGCTACAGATGCTGGTGAAACATCAGGAATAAAATATTCTAGAACATGGCCAGATAGCCCAAAAAACCCCACAAAAAAACTATGGGTGCTGACCGTGAAAGCCTTCGACTTGATATCAAGTGCAGGTTGAGAAGATAAGGGAGACGTACTGATGTCTATAGAGACCTACAGAAGAAATACATAAATTCAACTTAGTCAATGAGGAAATCGAAATAGTTAGAGTTCCCATGCTTAGGATCAAACATTTATCAGAATAGTGACCGCTGTCAAGAAATAAGACTAGGAATAGGAAGGGTAACTATGAAAGAAGTAGAATAGATCATAAACAGTAAAGATATACAGCTGAGTACTAAAGCTAGAATTGTCCAAGCCATTTTATTCTCCATCACCATGTATGGATGTGGGAATTGGACAGTGAAGAAAGCAGATAAAAAAAGAAAATCAACTCATTTGAGATGTAGTGCTGCAAAAGAGTGCTGGGAATACTGTGGACAGCCAAAAAACAAACAAACTGGTCCTTGAACAGATCAAGCCTGAATCTCTTTGGAGCCAAGATGATCAAATTGATGCTGTCATACTTTGGTCACATCATGAGAAGGCATGGATCACTAGGAAGGACAATCATGCTAGGAAAGGTAGAGAGTAGGAGAAAGAAAGGAAGACTGTATACCAGATGGATAGACTCATTCAGGGAGGTCATGGGCCATGTAGGGCATGGCAGGGGGTTGGACTGGATGGCCCTTGTGGTCTCTTTCAACTCTATGATTCTATGATTCTATGAAAGGTTAACACCAACACCTTGTACTGTGCCCGGAAACTAATTGGCAGCCAGTGGAGGGATTTAAGCACTGGTGTTATATGCTCCCTCCTGGATGTTCCCATAATTAATCTGGCTGCCATTTTCTGTACCAGTTGCAATTTCCGGGTTAGGCACAAGGGTAGCCCCATGTAGAGTGCGTTGCAGTAATCCAGACGTGAGGTTACCAGGGCATGTACCACAGTTTCCAGATCCCTCATGTCCAGATAAGGGCGCAGTTGCTGTATCAGCCAAAGCTGATAACAGGCATTCCTGACTGTCGCATTCACCTGACTGGTGAACACAGTCCTTAGAGGAGAGTGTGACTCCATCTAGGACTGGAGACTGTATTCCCAAATCTGGTTTCAGGCCTGTGACTGTGAATACCTCCGTTTTGTCTGGATTCAACTTCAATCTGTTTTTCCTCACCCAATCTCCCCTTTATTTTTTTCTAGATCAATGTAGAGATGGTCGGATAGATTGTTAGGAGAGCCAGTGTGGTGTAGTGGTTTGAGCGTTAGACTACAATTCTGGAAACCAGGATTCGAATCCTGGTTTGGCCATGTAAAAACCCACTGGGTGGCCTTGGTCAAGTCATATCTCAGTATCAGGGGATGACAATGACAAACCCCCTCTGAACAAACCTTGCCAAGAAGTCAGAAATGAAGATACAAGAAGAAGAAGAAGAAGATTGTTAGGACATCACTTCCTTCCTTCCTCCTTTCTCTGGGGTCATCTTCTGCTTCTTTGTTTAACCTAGAAACAGGCAGAGAACATGCAGCATCTCCATAATGGCTGCTTTAGCCAACTTGCATACACTAGCTTGTGTTTTTATATGGTTTTAAATTAATATTTTTTAAAAGTAAACATTTATTTGGGTTGATTGTTGAATGCTTTTAAAACTTTTGTACTACAGTACATTTTGGTCTGGCTGTTTTGTTTTTCATTTGTACCGTAAACCATTTTGAGAGAAAGGCAGGATGGAAATGAAATTTTTTTTAATTTATTTTTTTAAAGTTCAGGGACTATTTCTCCTGTACGTGAATGGGTTTCCTAAAGTAATAAATTAAGTTTTCTTGAGCATCTAGAGTATTTACTCATGTTTTATAGCTATTAGCTCACAACATGACATGCTTGCACTGCTCCGCTAGCAAAAATACAAATATTCTGACAAGAATAATTTTTCAAGTGGAGCCCATGTCACTATTGATGCTCTTCCAGTTGATGCTGTTGAATTTTATAACCTACATGTCTCCTTGTATAACCCACTTACCAGTCTGAACAGTAACTCAGTTTTATGGTCTCATTTATTACTGTGAGACATTGTCCTTCATGGTATTCCCATCACCTAAATACTGGCTTCCTATATGCGTTTATTTTTGAAACCATACACTGTTAAATCTGAGCTCCAAAGAAAATGACTTTTTTAAAAAAAATTGGGGTGTCTCAAACCAGTTGGGAAATTAATGTTCACTTTGATATTGAGGTGCATTTGTGATCTGGCAAAAAATGAATTATTGGAACAATCGGTCTAGGAGAATTTTTTGGACATTGGCGTGTTTAAAATGATATTTTAAAAAGGGAATTGGAGATGTTTTTTCAAATACACCCCATACACTCCATCTGTGTCAGGTCTCTTCACAGACCTTGCTGCTCAGGGACCTCAAGACCTTCATAAACAAGGAGATATCCTCTTGTGAATAGGTTTCTACACAATTTCAGTGGGACATCTTTTGTTTTTATTGGTTGCTGCACACTGAAGTATTAAATCAGAAGAATTGCAAGCTGACCTCTGGATGGGCCCCAGTATATTTGTTTCAATGTACTTGGACCCGTTCAAATTGCAAAAAATCAAGCACAGCAGGAGATATTTTTAAAAAACAGCACATTAGCCAAACCTAATAATTTACAAAAGTGTGAAATGGATTCCTTTAAACTCTGACCTCATCTGCCTTGAGGCAATGATGTTTATGGAAAGGCTCTGCTGTTAAATATTGTGGATCTAGGGTTAGGCAAATGTGAGAAATTTCTGTTTTCTCCACTTGCCAGGACCTTTTAAAGGCAAGAAACCATAAGCACAAAAGGAGCTTTGGTATTTCAAATTAACCTTGGAATGTCTCTCGCATCTTCCGTCCTTTCACAGATGGAAACTAGGAAAGCCAACACACATCATAGTGTGGGCTAGCAGGGGCTGCAGCAGTTTGCTTTTGCCTGAGTCTACTGGGAAGGGCAAGTTTCTGCCCCCCCCCATTCCCCAGTTACTTAAAAGAGTGCAAAACTACTTTTGCACGTTGATCTCAATTTGCAGCAATTCAACTAAGCCAAGGGCAAAGATAGAAGGTGGGAGGAGGAAAGAGAAACTGAGACATTTTAAAAGCAGCTGAAAAAGTAGAATGACAGAGGAGTAACACACACACACACACACACACACACACAAATTCATATATACAAAAGGGGTGCTTTGGTTTCTCAATTTACCTTAGAGAATGCATTACCTGATAGCCTTAGAAGGCTTACCTGATAGGGTTTGGCTGACATCAGGTGCTTTGTTTTGTTTCTTCAATGGTCAGGTAAAGTTTCTAAAAAGTTTCTGGGAAGATGTGTCCTTCTTAACATGTACTAAGTACTTTTTAAAAGGTTAGACTGTTTTAGTGGGTTTTTTTGTTGTTGTTAGTGTGTTTATTTGTTTATTACTTTAAAAATATGATTGATTTTAACCAAGTTCTGTTTTAATCAATGTAGCGAGAGACCTTGTTTTTTCATTGGGAGAAAAGTGCGGTATGAATGAGTCTATGACTGCATCCTCATTGTAGAAATAATCTAGTTTGACATCACTTTAATTGCCATGGCTCAATGCTATGGAATTCT